CGAGTGTCAAGGGATTTTTAGGGGTAGAATCCATATCAGACCATTTAAATAAGGCTGGCAGTCCTCTCTATTCAAATTAGAAGTTACCACCAGACTCTAAGGCCATTGGGAACCATCCATCCAAGTCATCATCTCCCTCTAGATCCCCCATTGAGGCAAAGAAGGGGGAAGAGGGAATAGAGGGAGCAGGAGCAACAACAGAGGATTGAGAACCTGGAGAAAGAGGAAGGAACTTTCAGTTTCATAATTCATTCTTATGGCTGCCCAGTTCATTTGTTTATTTCCTGAGATCCAGAGATACCAATAATTCTTTTACTTAAAGTTTGGATTTTCTAAAAATCTCTTACTATATCAGTTCATCCACTTCATATGAGCCTTCGTCTGGCCATTGCAAAGCAGGATTTTTATAAGCTTGCCTACTTCAAGCATGACAGTAAAACAAGCCTTTCAAGAAAGAGACCTGCTGGCAGGCTGGCAGGCTTTTTGTATTTTTCTACCATTGAAGTAGTGGTAATTCACATGCAACCTTCAAACCTACATTATTCATTTTGCTCAGTAGTAACTCAAAATTTGCAACAAGGATTTGGAATTTTCCCTGGGAGCCCAATCCCACTGAGCCAAAGTAGTTGAAGGGATATGTTTTAGCAAATATTCAGGGTTTCTTACCTAATGAAAGTAACCAAAATCTTCCAACAAATTTACGCAGCAAAGGACTAAAGGTATACCATCCTTATTACCAAATGGCTGAAATAAAAAAGAAATTGAGTCCCAAAGGAATATGCCAATTCATAAAAATATAATTAGCTATTTTTATTACTGAGGAAAACCCTGAATTCATGCAGATATAGCCCATAAGGCACTACAGTAAACACTCATCAGGTAGTTGCTTTGTACCAGTAGGTACATTATGTTTACTCTATCACCCTGTTTTTCATAGTTTTTATCAGGCTTACTCTGTTGTTATAATTGGTTATCAGAACCTCCTCAGTTGCCCTCGATACTGTATCCAGTATATATAATTAGTCACATCCTTCAACATGCCACCTCACTTCATAGGGTTAGATTAAGTTCAGGCTCCCATAATCTCTCCTAGTCTGTGGAGGTCCCACCTGCAATTTGGACCCAGTTAAGAGGTCTGCCTGGACTTTAATATTACTAGGGATGATTCTGAGCCTTGGCTGGCAAGAAATTCTGAGGCAACAAACTGCAGTTCCAGGGATTTCATAGTCAGCATTCATTTCTCTGGCCTGGTAAGGGGAAGATTGGCTTTGCCTCTCCCTGTAGAAGGTAAAACATTAGCTTGCCCCCTTGTGAGATTTAAGGCTGGGCAGAGGATGAAAGCCAACTGCTAATTGCATTAAATCTGATTTCAAGTTACTGTTGGGTTTTACTATACCTAAATGTGGAATACTGTGTTTTAGAGAAAACACGCCTTCGACTTTATAGAGTATTGCCAGATTGCTCTCCTGAATTGGTATCCCAATTCACACTCCCACCTGTAATGTATGAATTCATTCTTTCACACATCCTTGGCAACATCTGGTGTTTGCAGACTTTAGTTTTCCAATATGATGAGTGTGAAGTGGTGTCTCATTTTGGCCTTAATTTGCATTTCTTCACCATTGAGTATCTTTTACTCTTTGTTGGTCATTTGGGTTTCCTCTCCTATGAATTCACTGTTCATGTCTTTTGCCTTAAAAAAAAAAAAGAAAAGAAAAGAAAAAGAAAAAAAAAAAACACTGTTACTCTTCTCAATGTTAGGAATACTTTATATATTCTGAGCGCTAGCCTTTTGGTTGGTCCTATATGTTATAAATACCTTCTCCCAGTCTATGGCATTTTGTTTTGTTTATGGAGTCTTTTGCATAAAGAAGTTTTATGTGCTCTAATGCATCAGTCTTTTCCTTGACAGAGAATGTGGTTGCATTCCTTGAAGAAGTATTTTTCTCCCCTGTATGACTGTCTCCTATAACTCCTATAATTTCTTCTAAGAGCTTTACAATACTTCTTTTCATATTTAAATCTTTGATTTATCTACAGTTTATTTTTGTGTATGGTATGAGATAAAAATACAAGTTTATTTTCCCATATAAATAAGCAGTTGCTTCATTGACTTGTAATGTCACTTTTATCATTTATACATTTATGTCACCTTATGCTCACTTTTCTGTTAGATTTTTTTTTTAATCTTTGCCTATACCAATATAACATTGATTGGATTTCTGTAGTTTTATACTAAGTATTGATAACTATTCAGGAAGTTCATCCTCTTTCAGAATTGCTTAACTACTCTTGGCCTTTTGTTTTTCTATGTTAATTTTGGGATCAGTTTCTCAAGTTCCATAAAAAATCCTTTGAGGATTTTTATTGAAATTGCTGTGTACTATAGATTAATTTGAGAATTGCTTCTTATTCCCTTTAATACAGGTTTTCAATTTTCATTTTCTTTGTAAATCTCTTGCTTTTCTGTTAGGTTTGTTTAGCTTTAGGTTTTTTGCTGTTACAAATGAGATTATTAAATTAAAAATTTTAATTGGTTTGCTGGTGAATAACAATACTAATTTTGAACTAGAACCTTACATCTTCAATGTAATAACATTGTCAAAAATGTTACTGCATGATGCAGATGTCTGTTGAAATCTGTTCTGTGGCCTCATACATGGCTAATTTCATCATTCTTTTCTGTATTCTTGAAAAGATTTTCTTTCACTAATTTTGTGCAGGGTTTTATATACATCCATTAGATGAAGCTTGTAATTGATTGTTCCCATCTGCAAGCTTACTAAGTGTTTTCTGCTTCATCTATCTATTGTATGATTGTGGATTTGTTCATTTCTTCTAGTAATCCTTTGATTTTTTGCATAACTCATATGGAGACTGAAACCACAATTATAGCTTCCTTGTGAATTGTTCCTTTATTGCTATTGTGTAATAACATTTTTACCACTAGTAATTTTTGCCTTAAAATATTTTTTTCTGATTTGATTCTACAGCTTTACCAGTTTTTTGGTTTTGTTTTTGGTTTTGGTTTATGGTATAACTAATATGGCAGTTAAGGATGTGTGTAGCTGCACATAGCAGAAAAACTCACTACAATTTCCTAAACAAATGAGGGAGGGTCTTTTTTCCTCAAATAATAAGATCAGAGATAGATTTGGGTCCATCTGCTCAGAAACCCAGGCTCTTTATGTTGCTGTTGACCATTCACAGTGTGGCCCCTTTCATCCTCCTGCTCATTTTCTCCCTGCAAGGCTTTGTGGGATGGAAGTTGGGGGGTTAGGGGCAGAGGGGAATGAGACAATATGAAAACAGCCTTTATTATCAGTATTGCATGGTACAGTGTCGCATTTCAGCATATATACAATCTTTGTTTCATGTTTGATCTTTACCGACATTTTATGAAAATTCTTAAGCTAGAAGATAGAATCTTCTCTTCCTATAGTAAAACGTTAACAGTTGTTCTTACCAAGTGGGAAAAAAATGTTTGTAGTCGTCTCTCAGAGCCAGAAGTCTCAGTAAACTAAATGTCATTAATGACTGGCAAATAATCATGCACTTAGATTGCAAAGAATTAATGCAAAATAAAACAGATTTTAGCAATTTGAGTTTTTGTATTTAGGAATAGTTAGTATATATATTCTCTCAAGAGATGCTACCATCATTTTGTGTAGTTTTTCAGAAGACTGATTAAATAATCAATATTTTCTATGAAACCTGGCATCACCTTGTATCATTTGTGGGGACATGGGTGAGGCTGTCCAGTAGCCCTTCTCACCTAGAAAATGTGACTTCAAACTTCCCTGTCCAGCATCCCTTTTTGTGAAACCTCCAGTCCACCAGATTTCACCTCTGATCACACCCCAGTTCCTTAGGATGGGTATGTGGAACCGTGAAGTCTGTGTGGTTTGCTTGTACAGCCTTCAATATCTGAAGAACAAGGTAGTCTATTTCTTTTTTGTTTTTAAAAAGATTAGCCATATTTAGATGGTTCTAGTGCTTCCCAGGGGACCGCTAGAACAGTATATTAATATACTTAATGTTTGACATGCTAAAAGTTAGTAAAACATTTGTCTACCTATATTATTTAGCTTTCCTTAGCCATAAGAAATAAAGAATATCTATTTCCATTACAGATAAGAAATGGAGCCTTCAGAGCTCAAAATGTAAGAGTGTTATTATTGCATTCAAAACAGGAGGCTATGTTGTTTTCTTTTTGTTTGTTTAAACCGTTAAAGGTGTTGTCTTAAATTATTAGGTTACAGTGCATAAGCAGAGCCTGGTGCTACATAAATACTTGTTGAATGACTCTACTCTTAGTCGGGCATTTTCTTTTAGGCATTAAAACTGCTAATCCAGCTTTGAATGCCCTTTTGTCATCCTTATTCCTTGTCTTACACAATAATGTTAAATAGAAACCAGGTGTCCTCTCCTTGAAGGACATGGAAAGTGTTTCTTGTATGAGGTTAAGCATTGTGCATATATTTTTCCTTTTAGTGCACGTGTGTACATTCTTTTACATGGTCACCATATAAATTTTGTGCATTCGTTAATCATTATATTGAAATATTCACATAAGAACTCTTGAGAAAGAAGTCTTTAAGAATGAATGTGTGTTCCATTCGATTGTTTTTACAGATTTTTTTTCTATGTGACTTTTTACATTTGACAAATTATTCTTGCTGTGTTTGAGGACCCTTTCTTTTTTTCCCATTCTGGTCAAAAAGAGCATGTAGCTTTCTGATTAGTTAACCTTTACAACTTTACATTTGAAAACTTATTTTTCTTTATTCTCCACACAATAATTGTTGCAATTTTCTTTTTTTTTTTTTCCCTCACAGATTGTCAACTCCTAGGTTATGTTAATGTTTCTCAGAGCTATTCAACTCCATCCTAAATTTGAAACCTCCTATTACTATTATAATTATGTGATCATTTCTGTTTACAAATTTGAATTAATTTAAATTTTGGTTTTGTTGTGTTGTTATAAAATATTCTTTCAGCCATGGAAACAAAGAAGCATTTTCCTGCCGAGGAATAAAATTGGCAGTGGATTGGTTTTTGGAAAGAGGCCACAAAGATATTACAGTTTTTGTTCCTGCTTGGAGAAAGGAGCAGTCCCGACCTGATGCCCTTATTACAGGTAAACCCTACTCGCTGTTTGTTTTTAGTGTCCATATATATTTATGCAGGTATCTGGCATGATCAGGTATTCCATTGAACACTGTTATTCTGTTTCCATCTACTCAGTCTATGTAAATGCCACATTGTCTTGATGGAACATCAAAGCTATTTTCAAGTTTAAAAACTATCTGATTATGCTAAGTAAACAGTAATCCTTGTTACAGAAGCCTTTTTTTTTTAATTTGGAAGTTTTTACTTCAAATTTTATGAAATTCTGACCTTTTGAGACATGCTAGGTATTGAGAGACCTAGATTCAAATTCTGGCTTTGCCATTTACTAGCCATAGGATACACTGAACCTCTTTGAACCCCAGTTTTCTCATCTGCTATAAGAATTAGACTAGGTGAATATCAAATTATAGTGGCTGCAGATCAAAAAAGATCTATGAAACTCGGGGTATGCTATCTAGTGTCAAGCAGCAAGAAAGAACTCTATCCCAATGAAGTATCTCATTTGGCATTATTTTATAATTTCTATGTATATGAGTTTCAGGCAAAAATGTCCTCTGTGCCTGCTAAGTATTGTTGCTGAACATCTTGCTCAAATTAAGTGATTCTCAGTCAGCATCTAACCCTTCTCACCCCTCTCCAACTCCAACATTAACAAAAACTGAGGAACCTGTGTGAAGAAAATACACTTCAAAGTCAAAAATAAATGGAGAGACCATTTACTATGTACCTGAAGTCTTATTTTAAGACCTTTATTTTTATCTATAATCATTAAATCATTATCAAACTAGTATAAGAGTACATAGGCAAGTTACGGTAAAGTTCAGAGCCATGGACTCAGAACCAAGCCTATATAAACTGTATAGTAGCAGAGGTAGGAGTAATTCAGCCAGTAGTACCAAGACACTGGATAACTCTGTGGAAAAGTTATACATACCTAGATCCTTATCTTACACCATGTAACAGTCAATTCCAAATGGTTGAAGAATTAATTGTCAAAAATTAAACCATTAGAGACTAAATAGTCTTTGAATGGCTGGGAAGACCTATCTAAATCAAAAATTTTTAGAAGAAATTTGACAGAAAAGATAAATTTAAGTGCATCAAAATGTAAACTTCTATATTTGGGGCAATTTTCTTAACAATAAGAAATCTCTTTATTTGCCTAAGGAAAAATATGCAATTAATAAACACAGAATCACTGTCCTTAACATAAAAAGAAGTTCTCCCCAATATATAAATGGTAACCTGGTAGGAGTAGACAGCTCACAGAAGAATGCAAGTGCCAAATAAGAGAAAAAGTGTCCAACCTCATTAGTCATTAAAGAAATGTAAATTTAAACAAGTCTTATTTTTCACCCATCAAATTCACAGAAATAAAAAACTGATAGTACTTAATGTTTTGAGGGAGTTACTTCTACAGTGCTATGGCAGCATTAATTGTTACAACCTTTCTGGAAAAGTTTGGTCTTAAAATATTAATTCTCTTAGATCTACTATCTCCCCTTCCATGAATAATTCTCCAGAAAATAAGCAGTGGCCACAAAGGTTTCTGACCACAGAGGCATTCAGTGCAATGTTATTTATAATAGAAGAAAAAAAGGAAACAACCCATACCTTCTTTTAAAACATGGTTCAATAAATTAGTATATATTGATAGAACAAAATATATATTAGATTATTAGGCAGAATTTTTAATGACCTGAGGAAGTGTTCTTTCACATAAAAGGCAGGTTTGATTATTGTGTATGTGTGGCTATACATACATATGTACATATGTAAACAATGGAAAGAAAAAACACACAGAAAATGACTAGAAGGAAACATGACCAAATATTAACAGTAATCAAACTGAAAAAAAAACAAATAATATTTAAACATGAAAATTAATGGAAAGCTTCTTGAGCACAAAGGAAATATGAGATCAAGAAGTAAAATGAAAATGGACAGTGCGGGTTGTGACTCAATTTAACTTTAGAAATTCTAGCACGATGTATCTGGAACACAAAGGAAAGTGCATACAACTACTGTCAGGGGCTGTTAGGCGTTTTTCTCCCCTAGAATAATTCCCTTGATTGAAACCGTCAACCAGATAATAACTAGTAAATTGAATAGTCTCATATCTTTTCACTCTATCAGAAAAAGAAACTTGATAAGAAATGTTTTCAAGTTCTCAGATATAGATTCAGACTAGCATTTTTGCCAGTCTTCTGTTGATTTATCAAATACTTAACAAGCAACTATTCAGCTATGCATCAGGTACTATTCAAGGTACTGGAGATTCAGGTAACTTACCAGCTATAGTAAGCCCATATTTATTTAAGTTAGGATTACTTATCCTAACTAGTTGTCATCTAATTATCACCTAATTAGTGTCCTTTTTTTCTCATTAGCTCTTTAAGGAATGCAAAGTGAGCAAGATGATGGTGACTGCTAGGTCAGCACACTAGCTCCTTCGGTCATTTTGGTGAGGATCCAGGCATCTTACATGACTGAACACTGACAAATAAAGTACCTAGCATTATTCTGAACATAGGCAGTAAAATAAACTGGAAGACCTCTGAATGTACTTCATTAAGTAGCTTATGTACTCATTTGCAGACATCTCTTGAGTATCTACTGATGTGCTGAGTGCTGATAGATACAAAAATAAATGAGACATTGCACCTGACCTCAAAATGTTTTATCAGGGGCACATACAAAATAACTATAAGGTGACAGATCTTACAGTTGAGACTGGGCTTGTAAATTTGTATTGGTTTTCAGTGACTTTTAAAGGAGACCAACAATTGCATACATCTATAAACAAAATTAAGTAGAAGAAAAATATAGTGTATATTGAGAGTGCTAAGTGCTTTTACACATAAATAACTCATTGACTCATCATAGCCCATGAACTGCACTTGAGGACACAAAGAAACAGGCTCAGTAAGACTGATTGCCATATCTATAAAGTAGCAGAACCTGAGATCTATCCATGACTTCTCCTGATTTTAAGATCCACATTTCTTCCACTTCTCTGCTACTTTTCTAAACCAAAGTTCTGGTCTTGATGAACTTTGGAATTTTATCAGGAGCATCATGCAATCTATATGCCAGTATCGGAGCTAGTTGACCCGTGTCGTTCTTCCATCCCCTTCACCCTCATCCCTTCCTCCCTCATCCCTTCCTCATACTTCTTTTGTGGCCATTATAACACTAGTTTACACATTTATCCAATCCAGTACCTGACACCTCCCTGAGAAGAGGTCATTCTTAATTTTGGCGGCCATTAACACTTAACATAGTACATACCTTACAGTAGGCATGTAGTGAGTGAGTGTCTGCTCAAGAGGTAGAGGTTTAAAAAATTTAGTAAGCATTGAGAAGAAGTAAGCCTTTTTTTTTAAATGATGTTATCTGTTGGCTCATACCTGGCACTCCTTGCCAGAATTCACAATGGTGGAACGACAGGGAGCAGAGAAGCAAGAGTAGGAAGAGGGGATGTAAGTCACAAGTTGCTCAGTCATGTTTAAGTTTTATGCTATCAAATTTCTTCTAACTTTTGTCTGGGAACAAAAACTTTTAAGTTTTGAAGTTTTAAGCTTATAGTTTTGGGGGGGTTCTTTCTATTTCAGAAAACTTTGCAAGTTGTTTTATTTACAATGCCAACTTTTAAAAGGTCACTAAACTAAAGTTAACTGGACAGCAAACTAGGCAGAAATTGCTTTACAAAAAGAGGGAAAGCCCAAAAAGCCACTTATCATAGAAGACCCACAATTCAGTTTTATTCAGAACAAAGAGAAAAGAAACTTTGATCATACTGGAAGAAACTCAGCCATAGGTTTGGAGTCTGTACCCAAACTACACATGCAATGAGCTCTCTGCTCATTAGACAATACTCTGCCAATACAGTTGATGTGCTGCTGCATTTGTCTACTGTTTGTCTAATATTAACAATTATAAACAGAGCAGTGCAACTAGTTTTTGGAACAGTCCTTACAGTGTTACAGTGTCAGGCACAACATTTCACTTCCCTTTGCACCACTGGTTCTCTTTGTGTACCAGGGCTTCCTCTTCTTCGGTAAAGTCATTTTTGATGGTGAAGGTCTTGCGAATCTCTTCAGGAGTTTTCCCCTTGATCATATTGGCAACAGTCTTGGACGTAAAATCAAGCAAACCTTTGATATCTAAATAGTTTGCAGCCAGAATAAGTTTAAAAAGTGTTCCTTGGTCAACTTTGAGGAATTCTTGGTCCCATACAGGGATATCATCAGTTCATTTTTCTTTGTTCTTGTCATCCTCTGGAGGAGGAGGGTCATCCTGGTGGTGAATGCACCACTGGGTGACCTTTTTTAATATCCCTGCATTAACATTTGGTAGAGGAACTGGGTCATCATCACCTTCATTATCCATTCCCAAACCTTCTAACATAGTCTTGATAGTCACAGATTGTTTGGCAGTTTCAACATCAACTTCAAATATCTCCATGAGAACACTGCAACTTAATTGAAGGCATCTAACCCACAGGCATATGATGTATTCCTGACACGAGGGAGAAAAAAAAAGACACTTCCACACAAGGCCCGCTAAAGAAATCAGAGGCCTACAGGTCTGGGATGGGAACAGGCCAAGCTTATGTTTTTTAAGTTCATTGGAGGGGGCTATTTTTAAAGCTTTTGGAACTCCTGAAGGAAAAATATTATCGAGGGTTACAAATTTGCTGTATTTACAAACTGGAAATCATAATCCGTAATTAAACGATTACATACATTCAGAATATTTTATAAAATATTACATTGTATGAAAGTCGCTATATGTTTTTGTATGTATTTATTCCTGAAATTCTACCTTTGCAGATCAAGAAATTCTGCGTAAATTAGAGAAGGAGAAAATCCTGGTGTTCACACCGTCCCGGCGAGTCCAGGGGAGGCGAGTGGTGTGCTACGATGACAGGTTCATTGTGAAGCTGGCGTTTGAGTCAGACGGTATAATCGTGTCCAATGACAACTACAGGGATTTGGCTAATGAAAAACCAGAATGGAAGAAGTTCATAGACGAACGATTGTTAATGTATTCTTTTGTCAATGACAAGTAAGTAAAACCATTTATTTACAAGTAATACTGCTTCCCTGAATTAATATTATTAAAAGCTATTAAGAAACATGGAAAAATACGTTAAAAAGACAAAGCATAAACTTTGTGTTTGTTAAATGCTGTATGCATTCAGAAAAACAATGACAATACAACCCATAAATGAAAATTAATTGTATTAAGATTGTAGGATTGAGTGACTGTCTTCTATTTTTAAACTTTTAATGTCATATTGTTTTTATATTAATATTAAACACCATATTTGCTACATGCTATTATTCAGCCATGTTGACTCTCCCTTAAGAGTTCATACATTATTCATATTTTATGGGTAAATACTTGGTTTATTTCAAGTTCAAATAGTGACGTACTAGTAGAAGAACTTTTCAATCATAACTGCTTTTCATTATACATGCCATGAATTCTTGCTTCCATTGAACAGTCAATCCAAAATAATAAGTTGGGTTTTTTTTTAAGTGAACATGTCCTCAAGACTTGATTGTCACATAATAAAACAAAATACGAAGTTTAGAACTGGATCGCTTGGCAATTTCTCTCTTATCTCCTCCCAGCTCAAAATACTTGGGTTTCATAATAGCCAGCATTCTCTTAGATCTGCAGTTAGGCTCAATGCAGTCAAACCTCAGTACAATCTCCTTTGTAGTTTTAGCCTTTTTTCAGAAAATCAGCTTAGTCTGCCCACCATAGCCACTCTGCTGCCTGCCATAATGCGGTTCTCCTTGTGCACACAGAGAATCTTTGCACTTCTTGTACTGTATTACTTTGTGGGGTTGATGCTTGCCTGCCACACTTCTTACAGAAGGCCCAGTGGGTTTTAGGAACGTTCCCCTCTGATCCCATCACTTCAGTTCCTGTCCCTGAAGCCAGGTCCCTTCTGGGCCGAACCCAGCAACACTTGTTTTCTCAGTGAGTCCACAGAGGGGCTTGGACCCATCCCAGGATGGCACCGTCTACAGTGGAGGGAAGATTACACTAGATGTTATGCGTCCCAACCCCAAAGTCCTGCCATGTTTTATACATTTATTTTCTTAAAGACTTTTTCTATATCTGCTGAGAAGCATCTTAGCAGAGCAGGAAGAGAATGGACGATGGAGTTACACATCTTGACTATGTCATGTTAACTTAGATAAAAGTAACTTAATTTATCTAAGCCTAAATTAGAAAAGTGTATTGATCTAAAAAATAGAGCTGATACTTCAGAAATTATGCTAGGATTAAATGAGATGATGTGTGCACAGCCGCTGACACACACTAGGGGTCCGGTTAGTTGCAGTCTTCCGTCAGTTTTTACTACATCTCCCTTCTCTTCCTCAGCTATCCCTTGCCATCCCCCCACCCCCAATTCATACTACTTTACAAGATTGACGTTTATAAAGCTCTCCTAAAATGGCAAAGAATCTCAAGACTGAGAGGAAGGAATAATTAGAACCTGCTAGACTTATTTGAAGTAAAACAAATATTTTTAAGTTCATCTTGACACAGTTTAATTTTGTTCTCATCAAGAGAAGAGAACTTTGTGTACTAATAATTTTATCCTATAAATGTTGATTCAAAGTACTTGGATTAAAATTGAAAAAAACAATACCTTACTGTAATAAATATTTACACTGTTGTTGGAGTTAAGTTATCAGCTTCCTACTTAGATGTAATTTTGTATTTTATCCCTGACAGGTTCATGCCTCCTGATGACCCTCTTGGCAGACACGGTCCAAGCCTGGATAATTTTCTAAGGAAGAAGCCTATTGTTCCTGAACACAAAAAGCAGCCTTGTCCATATGGTAACTTTATGAGTATTTAATATATACATTTAGAACACAGTATGTTGTTAAGTTTTTAAGAAACATTTTTAGTTTTATATGACATACTATGTAGTTTTTTTATTATAATTAAATTTAAGAAAACATGAAAAAGTAGTAATTATTTCTACCTAATTGGGTTCGATTCAACTACATCTCCCCGTATTAAAACAGGGTTCCAACAACTCGTTTAGTAAATTATAACATGAGTTTTCAGGTTGGATACACATCAGATTGGAATGGTTTTATCACATTACAGCAATACACATTTTTTTCCAAAACAGAATGTCTTACCTAATTATAAAGTCATACTGGAAGAAAATAGGTAGGTAAGAGTTGAGGACGCAGGATATTAGCCAAAAACTCTAGAGGTGATTATTAATCACTCAGCCAGTTTGCTTAGTGCTATTAAGTCCTGAGGAGGGAAGACTTAACGTTTCTCAAAAGTAAGGAGCATGTCCTGGCTGGTGTGGCTCAGTGGATTGAGCACCCGCCTGCAAACCAAAAGTTCAAAAGTAAGGAGCAGAGTAAGGAGCAGAGTAACACTTGGAATATCTCCAATTTCTGCCTTTGTTTCTTTTACAAATTAAAGTAGTCATGCCAGACTGAGTTTTCAGGATCTGGGGGTGTGCTCCTTTGCCTAATCAATTTTGCTCTTCATAGGAAAGAAGTGTACCTATGGACACAAGTGCAAATACTACCATCCAGAAAGGGGCAGCCAGCCTCAGCGGTCAGTGGCTGATGAGCTTCGTGCCATGTCAAGAAATACAGCTGCCAAAACTGCAAATGAAGGAGGACTGGTGAAAAGCAACAGTGTCCCCTGCAGCACTAAGGCTGACAGCACTTCTGATGGCAAACGAGGTGCTCCAAAGAGGCAGTCGGATCCCAGCATTAGGACTCAAGTCTACCAAGACCTAGAGGAAAAGCTTCCCACCAAAAACAAACTGGAAACCAGGTCTGTACCTTCCCTAGTTAGCATACCGGCTACTTCTACTGCAAAACCCCAAAGCACTACATCTTTAAGCAATGGCCTTCCATCTGGGGTTCATTTCCCACCTCAGGATCAAAGACCACAGGGACAATATCCTCCAATGATGATGGCAACCAAAAATCATGGAACGCCAATGCCTTATGAACCATATCCAAAATGTGACTCGCCTGTTGACATTGGATATTATTCCATGTTGAACGCATATTCAAATCTGAGTATCTCAGGCCCACGAAGTCCTGAAAGGCGTTTTTCCTTAGACACAGATTATAGGATAAGTTCTGTAGCTTCTGACTGCAGCAGTGAAGGGAGCATGAGCTGTGGGAGCAGTGACTCCTATGTGGGGTACAATGATCGGTCCTATGTCAGTTCTCCTGACCCACAACTAGAAGAGAATTTAAAATGTCAACACATGTACCCTCACAGCCGCCTTAATTCCCAACCCTTCCTGCAGAATTTCCATGACCCCTTAACCAGAGTGCAAAGTTACAGTCATGAAGAACCAAAGTACCATCACAAGCCTCCTCTTCCACATCTGGCTGTACATCTACAGCACCCAGCTGTGGGAGCCCGGTCCAGTTGTCCTGGCGATTACCCTTCTCCGCCAAATTCAGGACACTCTAAGGCACCACACCTAGGACGGTCCTTAGTGGCCACAAGAATAGACAGCATTTCTGACTCTCGGCTGTATGACAGTTCTCCTTCAAGACAAAGAAAGCCTTACTCCCGCCAGGAAGGGCTGGGAACCTGGGACAGGCAGGGTTATGGGATTGAGGCGTATGGCTATCGGCAGACTTACTCCTTGCCTGATAACTCCACACAGCCATGTTACGAGCAGTTCACCTTCCAGAGCCTACCTGAACAACAGGAGCCGACATGGCGAATACCATACTGTGGACTGCCACAAGATCCCCCAAGGTATCAAGACAACCGAGAAAAGATTTATATTAACTTGTGCAACATCTTCCCCCCTGACCTTGTGAGAATTGTCATGAAGAGGAACCCTCACGTGACAGATGCCCAGCAGCTCGCCGCAGCCATCTTGGTGGAGAAATCACAGCTGGGTTACTGAAAGATGATGCATCTTTGTGGTGTTTAGTTTTTTGTTCAGCTCAAATGCTGAGGGAGGTTTGCTACAATAGCACATGTGATCTCCTTCTCATCAAGGAGGTTATATAGTATCCATTTATGTGAAATACTGTATCATGGAATCTGTATGTATAGCCCCACATAGTGGAAGTATCACGGGATTGCTTTACATTCAAACTTTTTTTTAACATTTCCTTTTTAAAGCTATATCCTTGGCTGGAAGTTTTTCCAGTTTGATTTATTAGATGTATCTGTGATCTTTGATATTAATCTTTGGTGCATCAGGGGTTTATATGCAGCACTTTTTATCCTTATTTCATGTTTTTATTAACTTGGTGTTTCTCTATCAATTGCAAGCAATTACAATACCTTCAGAATGTTGAACATTTGACTAGACCTAGCAAACTATTTTTCAAGCCAAGCTTAATTGGAATCTTTTACAGCTTTTTAAGTTATTTTTATTTGGGGAAAGTGGGCTTCTTTGTGCTATAATCATTATTTATAGAAACAAAGATATACTACAGCACTGACTTTATATTTTAAACAAATGTAAGTTACCAGTTTATGTTGAAATGGGTAACAGTATATGTTAGGATGATTTACAATATGGCACTTTTCATTGTTTTATTTTTGTTTGGAGTTTCTTGTCTGTTAAGTAATTTAATATGGTGGATTTAAAGAAAAGCAGATGCAATCAATGGGAAAAATTGTTTCCATTTCTTTTTTTTAATGAATAAGGCAAAAGCCGTAACTGTTTAGAATTTTATTATCCAGCTATGATGTGCTTCTAGATGGTAGAAATGGAATTGAATTCCTTGAGTTCCATGACCTGTATTTTTAATGTTTGTCTTTTTGTTTAAGGGCACAACAATACTGGATAAAATAACCTTTTTGCAGTAATTGCCTGTTTTTAATGAATCTAATATTCTCAGTGCAACTTTTATATTTAATATACTCTAGCTTTCCTGTTATTTATCAAGGCTGGCCTGAGGTGGTTTTATGTGTGGAGGATATGCAACATTTATTGATACTGCACTATGGAAATGATGATGGAGGAGTTGTAAATGGTAACTTAAAATTTTTGTAAGATACTGTATATTTTCCATTTTCCTGAAAGTAGTTTTATGGGGGGCCTGTTATATTATTAAGGCCAGATTCTTGCCACAAATAGTGTAGTTTTAGATACAGACTAAAGTCTGTTTTAGTATTAGTAAGGGATATTTCTGGTTTCAAAGTCATGGGTTTTGCTAGATGCTAATTCATTTTTGTTGGTTAGAAGACAGATATTGCAAACAGTGGCAGTTATGTGATTGACATGACTTCCCTGTTGCCTTCAGTTTTTGAATTTTCCTTAATGTAACAGACTTCCTTGGATCTGTTTCTGTAGCCTGCCAAGAAGCCCTGGTTATTCTGATTATTCCATATGCTACAGTTTGAAGTAAAGCCCTGAAAAACCAGAAAGTACCTTTTACTGTTGATACAAATTGTATCTTTTTAACTATAAGAACTATTTTGATTTGTAGATCTAGTTAAACACAAATGTGTAACTATGATTAGACTTTTGGGCAACATTTTATCCCTTATTTAAATACAAATTTTTTAAGTAAAATTGAGGTCTAGAATAAGGTAGAAAATTAAAGTAACAGTTTAGGTAAATAAAAGTGTCTGTCCTAGTTTTATATATTAAAATATATTAAATTCATTGGCATTTTCTTTCTCCTAAAACTTATCTAGTGTGAACTTAACTTAAAATAAAGGTAAAATGCTGCCTGAAAATAATGTCCAAGCACCTTTGACTAGGATAACATTTTCACTACTTGTGTGACACTGTGTGTTGCATGAAGTAGGATTTGGGTATACAGTAAATGCTTCTAAACGGCATTGTGCATATTGACATATCCAATAATCTGAACCGTGTTCAGCAAACTTAATTCAGGAAAGTGGTGTTCTACATAATTATTGCTGTTGTTTTTGAAGGGAGTGTGGCGCTCCTCTGTACCTAGAAATAATGCAGACGATGCCACACCAGCCATTCGGAGTGGCGTCTGAGAGTGACCCCACTCCCTTGTGAAATTGTTCTCCTTGATTTTGTGGGTCACTATCTGTAGAACAAGCTTAAATGTAGAGGCAAAACCAGTGCCAAAAATAGGGTTACAAATTGTAGTACCTTTTTTTTAAGTCATATTCTAAGCCTGTTTTTTTTTTTTAGTGTAAAATCACTTAAATTGTACATGAAGGTTTTGCTTCCATTTTCTTAATTTTAGTATCATAAATGTCTGGAGATTCTTCCAAACTTTACTAAATTTATTTAAATGAGATTTTAGGTAAAATGTATATCACACCTTTAATTTGACCATCTAAACATTTGTAGCTAAGTTTGTCATTGCTCCATGGATTTTAGACTATGGGAAGTAGCGTCACTTGCCACCACCTGTCCTGAAATGAATAGCTCTGAACTACCCACACTGAAATCCTTCAGTACAATTGTAAGTTAAGATACAACCATTTTCTTAAGAAATTTGTCCCCGTCCTCTACTTTTTTTTTTTTTAAGGCACTAATGTTTTCAGAGCTTAAGAATCAGATATTGGCAGACTTTGGATACAGCAAATTCTTAATTATCTAAAGCAATAATTAAAAGGATCCATCATTAAATTAAATCCAAAGCTGACTCCAAACCTTTAATTTAGCTAAAACTTTCATCTTTATCATATCTTTTGCCAGACTTGCTAATAAATAAGAGAGGTATGTTAGTAAATAGTGAAACTGCCACGAGAAAGGCATCCAATTGGAATATTCTGCCCCTGAATAATTGAGTGTTGACTGTACTTCACACAGTATTAGCCAATTTGTTGTCTCTGTCTCTGTGTCTTAGTACAGAGGGAATAGTACCCAAGTGGCCAAATACTGGCCTTTAGTATTGCCTCCTTTCTTGCATGTGATACATATGTTTTCAGTCTCCTTTTTATGACCTCTGTATCCTGATAGAGTTTGTCATTGACTAAACATTTGAAAGAAATGCAAACCAGTATAAAATACTTAATGCTGGTAGAAACTAGAACTTTGTGTTTTTATGAAAATTCATTTATAAGAATATGTAATATAACTAAAAAGTGTTTTTATATGTATACCTACATGCATACATATTTGTTAAGAAGTAATATTAACAGTGGGAGGGTGTTAATGCTTTTGATGGCTAACATTTCCTTAGTTGACCTGTTTCCTTGAGTTATACATGCCTGAGTCTGGATGACCAATGATAAGATTTAGAAACACTTGAATGGAAAGCAACTCTTCACTGGTTTTATTCCTGGTATTTTTAAATAATTATTTTGATAATTTTAACAGAATGTGTAATTTTAAAACACAGAAAAACCTTAAAGTAGTATTGATTATACAGATAATTATTTAACATGTCTTTTATGGATGTATCTATATGTATATAAACAGTAATATATTTATTAAATAAATATACTTTATGTTGTAGCTATTAGTTTGTAATAGGTGGGAGGGTGGCTCTGGATATGTATATGTGCGTTTTGAAAACTATTGAACTATTTTTCCCGATTGAATGTTACTTGCCCTAAGGTATGTTTGGTTTTGGTTGTTTTTGCAATCCAATGTCCTTATTCAGTATAAAATAAGATGTACAGTTTTCTGGCCATTCTGTTAGTGTATGGCTCATCCATTCTATTATCTTCCAACTCCTGGAGAATTCCTGAGCGACCGGAAATCAAACAAGTTATAGCCAGAGAGAATGCTATGTTCTAAATATTATATATTAAACATGGGAACTCAGAATGTTGACTTCCTAGGTACATACCAACAAATAAAATGAAGTATAAAATACATGACCTGTACACATATATTAGAATAAGAAGAGTGAGTGTTAATAAAAGTAAATATATGCATTATTTCAGATTGGTCTGGGAAGCCCCTTAGGACAAAAGTTGACAAACTTTCTGTAAAGGATCAGATAGTAAATAATTCAGGCTTTGAGAATCCTATAGTTCTAACTACAGTAATGAACTACTCACCTCTGCCCCCACAGCATGAAATTAGCTACAGACAAGACATGAGTGAATGGCGTGGCTGTGTGCCAGGAAAACTTTATTTACGGAAACAGACAGCAGGATAGATTTGGCCAGGGGCCACAGTTTGCTTATCCCTGCCCTAGAGGGAGAAAAGCAGACATTCTAAACATTAAATCCTGATATATGTTAATAAAAGAAATCATTGTAATTGTATTTCAATTGACATTGAAAGAAAATTGTTTATTGATGGCTGCAAAAGAAGATTGTGAGACAGTCATTAAACATCTTAATTCACTTTACCTGCTCACAACCATTACCTTATGAGAAGAATTTCTTATGTTTAACCACAAAAAAAGAATCTGTAAAAAGATATTTTAATAAGTATTGAAATTTTTTCATGAACTTTGTATTTTTACTGATAAATGGGATTCCTTACCTATTCTTTGTTTTGTAAAGACCTTATGGACCAAAAATTCTATTGTATTTTGAAAGTTAGCATATAATTAGCCAGAAAATATTTTAAAGACTGCATTTATCAGTTACATTTTTCTTCTGGTTTTTGGCTTCCAAAAAAAATGACAGATCTGTCCTTTAAAAATGGTTTTAAAGAAGATAAATATATTGTAATTTCACATGCTGTAGCTTTATTCTGTAAGGCTAAAAATTGTGACCAGTGTAATGGTAGCTAAAATGTGAGTGTGTTTGCTGTATCGGTGTCTCTACAAGAAACAAAGTGTATCCCTGCTTTCATTGTCCAAACCTTTAGTGTAGATTTCTTTTTTTTTTTTAAAGACACCTTGGGACAGTCCATGTGAATTGTATTCTTAATATGATCATGTGTAATTTTAAATTCATTGGATGTACACACTGTGGAGCATGTTCATTCACAGTGTTTTATAAATTGTTAACATCAATAACACTATTTCCATTAGTTTTGAACATTACCATCCACTTAAGGAGTTATACTTTCTTTTAAAATTGAAATACAACTCTAGCTTTTAATGGTAACTGGTTACTTAATTTTTTTTTTCTTTGATGCTGTCTGTCCACCTGCTTTTTTACTTCTGTTACAATAATACTGTTATGTGTTAGGAGTGGCTTCCCCCCCCGCCCCAGGTCCTTAGTCTTTCAGATTTAAAAACAACAAAGTTTTGACCAGTTGGCAGTAAAAAAAGTCTGCATATTTTAATTTAGTTTTATAAAATTTGTAAAGTTTCACTTTTTAAACCATGTACCAAATTTGCCAATTTTCTGGATATTTCTGATAAATAACAAATGGTTGTCTGCTAAAGGTTTTGACTCCTTTCCTAAAGCAAATCTGTCTCAAGGGAAAAAGACATTGAAGAGCAATATATATATATATATGTATATTTTATATTTCCTTAGATTTTTTTTGAAATTATAAATTTCCCAGCTAATAAAAATACCCACAGACATGCACACTTCTGCATAGCATTGTAAGTGAACCAGGTTACTGACTTTGTCCTTCCCTTTAGCTTTCCTCCTCCCAAACTGTAGTAGTATGCTGATAGTAGAATTTCCAGTGTGCTTCTTTACATGTTTCTTAATAGGAAAATATGGCAAAGAATATCTTTAAAACAACAATCTGATAAACTGATGATGTGATTCTACTCATCCTGTGTCTGTTC